TTAGCAAGAGGGTCGAGGAGGTGTTAAAGTGTGAGCAGCGAGACACTTCCTCGGACGAGCCCAACCAGCCCTCCAGTACAGACCGCTCGACTCCTTCACTCTATTAGTAAAGGTATAGTGGTCTAGATCACTGTTTGATTCCTCGTCTACATGATAGATCCAGTGTTCTGATAGATCCAATAATTTGATATATCCAGTGTTCTGATAGATCCAATATTTTGATATATCCAGTGTTCTGATAGAATCAATATTTTGATATATCCAGTGTTCTGATAGATCCAATATTTTGATAAATCCAGTGTTCTGAGGTAAGCCTTTCTACAAAAAGCTATTGCTCTCCGGACGATATTTACTGACTGTGCAGCACAATATTGTTCGTCGGGATGAGTTAGCTTTCAAAATTCTTATTCATTTGTAAATAACAAAATATGCCAATAAAGATATTTTACATGATAACGGGTTGCTAATAAATGTTAGCTTTTGATATATAATCATTTTATTTGGATTCGTTATAAAACTACTTGACATGACGAGAATTATTAAGACTGTGACAATAGCTTACTGATTAACAACTTAGTAATTTTTTGGCCCTAAATATAATTTAATATAAAGTTGTATAATTATTTATGATAGATAAGTTTCTTACTGATGCGATCCAGTCTTCATCATCCAAGTGTAATAATGGCATATGTTCTATAGTTATTCTTTTAGCAAAATATATTTTTTAAGTTATATATCAGCAAGAAGTGCACACCAACAGATGGTCATTTCAGAAATAACAAGGAATACCTTGATATTTATCTGAGGCCATTTTTGTCGGTTCCTGTAGGTATTCTGAGATGTGTGTGCTTCAGGTGTGACCAGTGACGAACTTCAGAAATGAGGATGCTGATTGAGACTCGCTGTGTGATGCTGCTTATGATAGCTACGGGGATGCTGCTCTCAGCATCTTTGTCTACCGGAGTCTACCATACCTTCAGCCTCCTCTTCAAGGGTGGACAGATGATTAATGCGCCTTACAACTATGTTGGTCCAAACGTCAAGATTCAGTAAGGAATTATGAAACTTTTATGATAATGCACAATGAAATCAGAAGAACCTGATGAATCAAATAAGCATTGAGGCCATACAATGGGATCGAACCCGCGTCCTTGAACACCCAAGACACACGCACTACCGTTCAAGCAGCGCAGGTTCCACTCCATTGTACTGCCTCAATATTTACTAGTTTTTGACATAAATTTCACAGGACCTTAATGTGATAAATTGACATTTTTTATTTCGCTCGTGTTTAAGGAAACTCGTCATTAACCACATTAAAACTCGTAATTCCACAGGTCATTAACTACTCGACCATCCACATATGTAAGGTAATTAACTCTACCCAACCATTCCCAGATGTGCAGGTATATGCAGCCAGAAGGTTGGGTGTTGGGTCTACACATGGGACAACGTTAGCCTGGAGTGTCACCTGTTAAATTACTTAACAAGTCCTGTCGCATTGCAGTCAGCAAGCGTCAGTCTTTACACCTATTATGTGGCTGACGTCAACAACCTCAAAATGACAATGACGTCAAATGTGCCTGTTTGGAACAAAGGTCAGACAACTTGCGAGGCCCTGGGAGGTCGCATGGCGGTCCCCGCCGATGTCACATACGGGTTCCTCTTACAATATGTATTCAACGCGGCAGCATACTATGTCGGTATGCGGCGGTACGTGAATAACACAGATATCTGGTACGATGTTGATAACAAGGTGGTCACTAATTGGAAGGTTACGTCGTACGCTTTGTACCAGTCAAGTGGTACATGTTGTTACTACCTTAACGGTGTTATGACTCAGATTAATTGCTCATATGTTGATAGGATACCCGCGCTTTGTGAGGTGTGAATTCCGGCGAGAACACAACGTAAGCACAATTTAATTTACGTTTTTGTAACGTTAGTAGCATTTGTAAAGTGGTAACGACGTAACAAATACAACGTTGTGGTTAGGATGTGTGTTTGTTGGGGAAAATCATCTCAGAAATCAATTAGGATAATGGAATATTTAGAACTTTGTCAGCATCTCAATATTATCTGATTTGCCAGCGTACTGGCTCATTCAGACACACACTCACATGTGTGTGTATATGGTGTGTGTCCACAGTGTGGTGTGGTATACACAGTGTGGTGTGGTATACACAGTGTGGTGTGGTATACACAGTGTGGTGTGGTATACACAGTGTGGTGTGGTATACACAGTGTGGTGTGGTATGGTGTGCACACGGAGAAGGACAATTTAGTGTGTGCTTAAATGTGGAGCGACTTGTCCCATTCCAGTGTGGAGTGATTTGTCCCATACCAGTGTTGGGCGACTCATCCCGTATCAGTAATATACAAACTTTTAACACTCCACACAGCCTAACCTCAGAGTAAAGCTGCCTGTACATCTGTGTAACCAACAGTGATGCACTGTTCATGTAATCTTCGAGTAATTAACCGCATCAGTCTCCGCTAATTTGATAGATGTTGTCACAGCGGAACAATCCAATACTATAATAGAAGTATCACCTGTGTGTGTATATTTATCTTTACAAGTAACAATTCAGCAGCTTGTACACTGTATTGCACATGCCAGTGATTTGTTTATGGAAGCTGTTTAATAGTAGCTCTCCCCCGTGTTAACTGCTGTGATTGTCCAGCCACCTGGATTAGTCACTTCTTGCAGAGTCGGCGTTCGATACCCGATGGTCCAAGTGGTTGGACACCATTCCATCCCTCCGTTCTATTCCAGCTCCTTGTTCTTATATCCCTTCTAAGTGTGATCTAGTCATACTGGCTTAGTGTTTTATGATATCACAATATTTCTGATATCCCTTCTAAGTGTTATATATGTATACTGGCTTAGTGCTTTCCCCTCATAATTACCTTACCTTGCTACAATTGAACTGCAGCGTCCGAATGCAACATTGGGAATGGCTGAGTGATATATTGCATTGTGTAAATGTAAATGTCTCAAAGCCATGATTGAAAGAGCATAAATTTTCTTTTGTGATAATGTTACTTGTTCAATGAAGCAAGAAACGAGTAGGATAACGCCTTTATCTATGCCACATTACAATTAGTTAGTTCTATTGCAAAGGGAGTATTACTGCACGATGAACTGTAGTGCCATAGGATCTCTGGAATAAATGTACTCAACACGACCCAGTGTGTCTTTTGTACTCTCCTCGTCAAAGTGTGCTACCAAGGCCCTTGTAGCCTGGAAGGTCTCCCACCTCAGTGCTTACAGGGTCCCCATAGTCTATACTAGTGGTCTTGACCGCAATAGTGGAACTAAGAGTGTCCCAGGTACCCCTTCCCCCTACAGTCTACATTAGTGGTATCGACAACTAAGTCTGACCAAGCGTTTAAATCATTCTTTTTACTAAAGAACTGTTCGCATAATTTAAGATTTTTTCAGCAGCAATTAGGATTTGTTCGAAGGTGAACAACTAGGAATAAATGTGTGTTAGATTTTAATGAAGTACACTTTTCATAACACTATTCATGAGGTAGAAGGAAATTATCACTAAATTGAATAATTAAAATTATTAAGTTGAATAATTAAATTAAACAATTGAATAACTTAAGTAAATAAAAAATAATGAAATATATCTCAATGTTTTTTAAACTTGAATATTTCTCCGTGTTAAACTAATGACTTACTTTATATCTTGAATAACTCACAAGGCTAGTTATATGGCTTGTTATAAGTAATACTGAAGAACATATGCCATTATTGCTCCAGGAAGGTGAACACTGGCTTGTATCAGTAAGATAATTCTTATTGATGCGATATATATATATATATATATATATATATATATATATATATATATATATATATATATATATATATTGTAAAGTTGTGCACATATAATTCACAGCAGTATGCTGCATACACAACAAATACATTACATATATCATACTCTCTGGGGTTTCCTTCACTCAAGATTATCGAATACATTTTAAATGAATTCATTAGTTTTTTTTAATTGTAAGTTGTTTAAGCACTCAGTGCCGCCCACCCAATTAACCTCCCATCCTGGGGCCGCCAGCCCATTCCCGCCCTTATACCGCCCACAGCCACCAGCACCACCCTCCCCGCCCTAACACCGCCGCCCGCCGCCACTCAGAATAGAAACACTGTTTTTCAAAGCATCGAGCAAAACAAAAAAACATTCTGTTGATGGAATGCTTTACAAAAAACTAATTGCTTGCTGTATGCAACTGGTTTGCTCTTTCCAACATTTCGCACATTTTTATCGAACATTTCTTTCCGAACATTTTAACACACGTCAATAGAGCTCCAGTTCTTGATGTTAAGACATTTACTAACAAACATATATGAACATTTATATGTTATACTAAACAAAACACACTTGGCGCTATTGAATATATCTGGCTTATAACACACCTAGCACCGAAAAATATATCAGGCATATAATGCACCAGGCACTGTTAAAGTTATCTGGCTTATAACACACCTGGCTCTATTAAATACATATTCCTTATAACACACGGGGCATTTAAATATACCTGGCTTATGACTCACTTGGTACCGTTAAATATACCTGACTTATCAAACCCCTAGCAGTTAAATGTATCTGGCTTATAATACACCTGGCACCGTTAAATATGACTGTGTGTGTGTGTGTATATGTCATTACGTGTATGTTTTCACCAATAGTACTCACCTAGTTGTGCTTGCTGGGTCGAACATCTCCTCCTAAGCCCTGCCTATCGAAAATCAGTAGCTCAATTTAGTGTGTCTGTATGCACTTGTATGTATGATATCCCTGTGAATGACGTATACACCTTCCCATTCATCAACTAACATAGCAACACACGCTGAACAACAAGCTATGAAACACACACAAACTCCCGCCAGCTCTCAACACACTCCGTGTCTCCGTTGGTTTTAAAACCCTTTTAAATTCTCAAAATAAAATTCAAATTTTTAAATTTATAAATACCGGAAAGAGCTGCCGGTGGGAGGAAGTGAACAGCGCCACCAGCCAGGTGGATTAACTCGGCTCTCACAGCTGTAAAGTTCTCCCGTCTCTCTCATCACGAAATGAAGAAGAATATGTATAACATGAATAAAGAGAAGAATAGTCACTTTATACTTGAGTTAAACTTAAGTAAACGTAAAGTAATAGTTATGCTCTGTGCGCCTGTCCTCCTCTTTTCTTAGGTTCCTCATCTGTTCCCTCACTGCTGTTTTCCTCCTGATGTGGCTGTGGCGACGTTTGGGTTGAGTCTTGGCTGTACTTGCTATGTCACTTTCATACTGTCTCTCTACTTGTCTCCTCACACTGAGGTACTCATTCCTGGCCCTCTGGTATCTTATTCTGCTTTCTGCTGGCCCTCTGGTATCTTACTCTGCTATCTGCTGATTGTTTTTTTTTACCATACTTTATCCATGTCTTTGTACTTAGTTGTCAGCGTCCATACGTGCCTAACTAAATCACGGACATCTTTTTTACATATGTTTTGTTTTCCTTTTGGAACGGAATGAGGTTGCCTAATGGCTCCTGGCGCTTCTGGTTGATGAATTCCATCATGCCTTATACAGTCTATTTTATGAGTTGTTTTCCGTGGTATTTCTACTGGGAATTTTCTCATCTCATCATAGTTCCATTTCGTATGCCAGCTCTTTGCTTCCTGGTGTAGGTTAATATGCCTTCTTCTACAATACACTCAAGTGACAGTACACTCTGGCCGCTCATTTCCAGGGGGCGGGGCTTGTGTTGACTATCTTTAAGGCTGACTCATGTAAATATCAGCTCAAGTCTGGCTTCGTCATTTATGTGTGTAACACGTTATCTCAGTCAGGTATGTGTGACGCATTGTGTACTCACCTAGTTGTACTTGCAGGTGATGAGCTTCGGCTCTTTGGTCCCGCCTCTCAACCGTCAATCAACAGGTTTATAGGTTCCTGAGCCTACTGGGCTCTATCATATCTACACTTGAAACTGTATGAAATCTGCCTCCACCACATCACTTCATAATGCATTCCATTTATTAACTACTTTGACGCTAAACAAATTCTTTCTAATCTTTTTATGGCTCATTTTGGGCACTCAATTTCCACTTGTGTCCCCCTAGTGCTTGTGCCCCCTTATGTTAAATAACAAGGGGACAATAGACAATGTCTTTGTCTACCCTACGCAATTCCTTTGAGAATCTTGTATGTGGTGTCTACCCTATGCAATTCCTTTGAGAATCTTGTATGTGGTGTCTACCCTATGCAATTCCTTTGAGAATCTTGTATGTAGTGATCATGTTTTATGCTTGACGAGATATGGACTCCATGCTGGAGCTGCATACTCCAGGATTGATCTGACATACGTGGTATACAAGACTCTGAATGATTCCTTACACAAGTTTCTAAAGGCCGTTCTTATGTTTGCCAACCTGGCATATGCCGCTGATGTTATCCTCTTGATGATAATGTCTTTTGTTGTGTGTGACGGGTCTGTCACACACAGACAGGTCTTCGGGGGACAGGTCTGGCGTGATATCAACCCCCCTAGCTCTCTGATTCTAGAAGAATTTCATCTTCCAAATGATATCTTGTATCTGGCCTCCTGCTCCCTACACCTATTTTCATTACAATACATTTGCTCGGGTTAAACTCTAACGACCATTTGATGGACCATTCCTTCAGCTTGTCCAGGTCTTCTTGAAGCCCCAACCTGTCCTCCTCATGTCTTAATCCTTCTCATAATTTTGGCATCGTCAGCAAACATTGAGAGGAATGAGTCTATACCCTCTGGGAGATCATTTACATATATCAGAAACAGAATAGGACCGAGTACAGAGCACTGTGGGACTCCATTGGTGACTTCACGTCAGTCTGAGGTCTCACCCCTCACAGTAACTCTCTGCTTCCTATTGCTTAGGTACTCCCTTATCCACTGGAGCACCTTACCAGTTACAGTACTCTTGCCTGTTTCTCTAGCTTATGTACCAGCCTGTTATGGGGTACTGTGTCAAAGGCTTTCGACAGTCCAAAAAAATCCAGTCTACCCAGCCTTCTCTTTCTTGCTTAATCTTTGCCACCTGGTCGTAGAATTCTGTTAATCCAGTGAGACAAGATTTACCCTCCTGAACCCATGTTGGTGTCAGCGGACCGGTTGGTGTCAGCCGGCCGACACTCACAGCACCCTCACCTGTGTCAGCACCCTCACCTGTGTCAGCACCCCTGGCCTGGTCCCCTCAGGTTCATTAGAGCGAGTAATCTCCCCTCTCACCCATTCCCCTCTCATTCCATGGTTATTTTACCAGTATCTCTCCCTCCAGCAGTACTAACACCGCCATTGTTACACTCAACAATCGTTCCTGCTCTTGTTCTCTCTCTTTATCCTCCTCTCTTCCTCTCAATTTTCTCGTTTTTCTCTTTATCTCATTCTCTCATTTTTCTCTGTTCATTTCTGCTTTCTTTTCTGTTTATCTCAGTTCTCCTATTCTCAGTTCTTCATCTCTCTCTCTCTCTCTCTCTCTCTCTCTCTCTCTCTCTCTCTCTCTCTCTCTCTCTCTCTCTCTCTCTCTCTCTCTCTCTCTCTCTCTCTCTCTCTCTCTCTCTAAGACTGGGATTCATTAGGAATGGTGTTGTTATCCTACATAAGCTCATCTGAAGCCTGCTCCCAGAAACTTCCTTATTTGATGAGTTTATTATGTATATCTATTAAGAATAAACTAACTTTAATGATAACACATATCAATGTGTTCAGCGAACAGGTTCCAGATGCGAGTCAGCCCGATAATGAATGATCGCTGACGATGTGCTGTTCTTGAGAAAGGCCTTACCAGCGTGAGGCTGTTGATGGCTGAGCGCCTTGGGTTATGGGTACCAGTTTCTGGTTGTCCACGAAGTTGGACCAGGTGAGGAAATTTGCTCTAAACAGGGAGTGAGTACCGAGCAGTACTCAAGGCGGGACAGCAGAAATGTTTTGAACAGTAAGCGTTCATAGTGTTCATGTACGGAAGGTACAGCATCTAATATAACTAAAATAATTTATATACACACGAGAACAGCAGATTTTGAAGGAAAAATTTACAAAATGCCCGCAGCCTCGGCCCGGGGTCCTGCCTCCTGGAACTCCATATTTATAAAGAAATATAAATTACTATTAGCACGAACGTTCATGTAATATTGGAAAAAAGTTAAACACCGGGAAGATACCGGAAGCACTTAAATCAGAAGGTGTATCTCCACGGCACAAAGGAGGTAGTGGAGAGTTTGGCCAAAAATAATAGACCAGTTGTATTAATATTACACAATATTAATGTTTTTGAAAGACTGATTAGGATTCAAATCTCCAGTTCTATGGAGGACTGTGAACGTCACAACCCTGGCCCCCAGCTGTTTGGGTGTTGCCTGCTGCTATAAACCGGTTCTGGTAAAGAGAGTGGAGGGTGCAGGCGGAGAGATATATAGCTTGTACATGTGCTTTGTATGGCCCGTCTCTCCCTTAATCTTCTGTTATGTTAATTGTACACAGTGTTTTACTGTGTGTGTGTGCCTGCTTGCCACCTCTCTCCCTCCCAGGCCACTATAACATGTACCCCTCACACAATATAACTACACACACACACACTCTAGGACACACAGGGGCAACACCCACAGTGTAAACATCACAAGGGGGGGGAGTAACCTGCAGGCGCCAACACACACACTAATCTTTGTCTTAATTGTGTGAAGAGAACAGGTGGGAATCTCATTGCTTCACAAGCGAGTGCAATATTATAACTCGTATGCAACTGCAGTTAGAAAGTGGGAAATAATGAAGTTTTAAAGCTAATAAATATATGTTGAGTATTAATATGTTAAATTTTGCTATAGGCTATAATGCTTAAAATTTAAACGTGTGTTGATTAATAGTGACTAAATATATTAATATATGATATAGATACCACCTCTGTGGCTATTGCCAGGACCCATAGCCTCGGAGAAGAAAATTAGGAGCATTCAGAGACAATTAGCTTCTCTTTCTACTCGTTTTTTTTATTATATACTAATATAAAGTTACACAGTTGCAACAGTGGTTGGTTGTAGGACAGCAACATTACAAAACAAAATAACGAAATTTTGTAACAAAATAACGAAATTTTGTAACAAAATAACGAAATTTTGTAACAAAATAACGAAATTTTGTAACAAAATAACGAAATAGAAAATTGTTTCCTAGAAGCCGTAGATTTCTTCAATTTTTCCTCCGACGCTGAGCAGGAACTGAGGAAGTAGTGGGCGTCTCCTCTCTGAATAGCCACTCTGAGTTGCTGGTAAGATTAATTTGCTGCTCTAGGGTCTCTTGCTGCTTCGATGAGCCTCAAACCCAGATGCTTGAGACAACTCCTTACACTTTCCCCATGGACCAAGAGTCTCAGATCCTATAGGAACAAAGTGGTACCGGTGGTCCATTTCCTCGTACTTGTTTGGCTTGAATCTTTGGCGGAGTTGTTGTGAATCAAGACGTATATATATATATATGACGTATATGAATCAAGATTTTTCGTAGCTGTTCAACCATCAACGAAAAGAAAGTCTAATACAAGACTGAAAGAGCGTTCCTGCAGTACAAGTTTATCTTAATATTCCACCAAGACCTTTCTTCATCTTCCCTCTCTGTAAGACTGAGACGGCCATTGTTCCCTGCTCAATCACCTTGAACGAGATGCTGAGATGCTACGCCAAGATGAATCTCTAGCCTAGAATCACCTAATCAGGGCCCAGACCGGGTCCACAACACCTAGAATCACATCTAATCAGGAGCTGGACCAGTTCCACGTCCCTCGGGAAGGCCGCCATTGTTGACTGTCTCTTGTTTTCCCGCGAGCTGTCAACTCTCCACCTTGGGATTATATGTTAATGAACCTGACACTTTCAGTGTCCGAACCTCTTTTGGTAGCACTTCCACGCTCATTTGCGCCTCCTTTGTTTATCTTGGAATTAAGAGAATATATTTCTCTATTACCTCTCTCTCTCTCTTCTCTCTCTCTCTCTCTCTCTCTCTCTCTCTCTCTCTCTCTCTCTCTCTCTCTCTCTCTCTCTCTCTCTCTCTCTCTCTCTCTCTCTCTCTCTCTCTCTCTCTCTCACCACATGATGCACATAAACATGTGAGTGTGTCAAGTGTAGTATACCCACGGCCCTCATACAGTATACCCAACAGCCACGTGGGGTATACCCCTGAGTATACACAGATGGGAGAATGTGGAAGCCAGCAAACCTAATTTTGGGAAAGTATTGAACACTAAATCTGGACAAATGGGTGAAGTTCCATTCACGTTTAGTATAGAGACAGTTTAAGCTGGTCCACGGGAGTACTAGTGAGGGGGACAGGCAGCAGGGGGGGGACAGGCAGCAGGAGGAGGGACAGGCAGCAGGAGGAGGGACAGGCAGTAGGAGGGGGACAGGCAGCAGGAGGAGGGACAGGCAGCAGGAGGAGGGACAGGCAGCAGGAGGAGGGACAGGCAGCAGGAGGAGGGACAGGCAGCAGGAGGAGGGACAGGCAGCAAGAGGGAGACAGGCAGCAGGAGGAGGGACAGGCAGCAGGAGGGGGGACAGGCAGCAGGAGGGGGGACAGGCAGCAGAAGGGGGGACAGGCAGCAGAGTGGGGGGGACAGACACGGGCAGACCCAGGAGTTAGGCAGCTGTAGTGGGCAGCATCCTGAGTAGGGATCAGTTGTCGGCCTAGCGGGGACC